TCTTACAATATCTTCAATCGCTTGAATAAAAGGCTACAATTAAGCCTTTTTTGCTTTTCCCTAGTTTTAGCCATATATTAAATATATTAATTAAATTCAATTTTGTTTTGATTAATAATAATAATAATTTCCTTCTAAATCTATCCTTTATTTTTTGGCCATTTTGAGTTATTTTCATACAATTTAATTTGTTTATTTTGAGTAGTTGAATACTGAAGATAAATTTCTGTAATTACTTAATATTTTACTTTAATGTTTTTGTAAATCAATTCAGAGTAGTTCTTATTCAAATGATTTTTTTCTATTACTTTTAATGAATATTTATGGAGCTTGAACAAATGTAACATGAAAAGAAATACTAGTGTTTAAAATTTATATTTTTAATTTGGTCTAAGTTTATTTTGTAGTATACTGGCCATATAAGGCTTTTTTGGCTTGGCTTTGAAATGAATAAATAAATAAAAAAAAATTGTATGAGCTTTTATATCGAGCGATTCAATTATATTATCTATTATTAGCGATGTTTTACATGCATTTTTTTGCGGCAATATCAGCGAAAACATTCCCTGGTATTCCAACATGACCAGGAATCCAAACAAGTTAAATTTTGTTGTTACTGGAGATAAGTTTATCCTTTATTTTGTTGATACCTATCCACTTTGTATTTGCAATATTAGGTGTGTCTGGTTACTTTTCCAGTAACAATTATTCAGTAAGTTCTACTTCAGAGAGTAAGCCTTTCTTACTCTATTTTGCGATAATACTGAAAAAAGTAAACAGACAACATTTAGTAAGATTTAGCAAATAAACAGCCGATTCAAGAAAACATTTGATTTGCGCCAAAATAAATAACAAACAAAGGATGAACACAATTATTTGTATTGCATTTAATATTAAAAATAAAATGAATAATAACAGAAAAATCGATCTGGTATGTTCCCCGGGAACATTTAAGCTCCCTGCATCAATACATTGCCCTCTATCTGGAACTTGCCTAAAAATATATAAGGAATTAGTTTCTAATTTAATGAAACTTTGCATTACTTACGAATTTTCTTCCATTTTCTGTAATTAACTTCAAATTGAACATTGCATATTAAAAAAAAATGTTTTAAATAATTTTTGTGTTTGGTCAGAAAACAGACAGAGCTATTATCTACACACATCATCGCCGATAGACAATCGGATAATATTAACATATTATTTTTGCTCCCTTCGGCAATATTTATGGCTTCTAGGATACCTGCAACTTCAGCGGTTAAAATCGAGCAATAATTGGATACTATTTTTGATGTCAGAACTTTACCAATATTATTTACTACGGCATATGCAGTATTATCGTCGTTTTTTGAAGCATCGGTAAAAAGTGTTCCCAAGCTGTGGTACTGCGCGATAAGTTGTTTGAAATTTTTTATGTAAATTTCATTTGGTGTACTCTCTTTTTTATACAAAGATAGAGACATGTCACAAGACTCTTTCGAGTTATTGATTTTTACACGAAATTTTCGATCAGATAGGAAGCTCTCGATATGATTTAATATCAGCCCCAAGATGTAAAAGAATCCAAGATGACATGCATATCGATACGATCAAAAGCCTTTTCAAAGTCAATTGCAAGTATCGATGTGTGGTTTCGGACAGAAAGTGCTTTAGTGACGTAATAGTCCAAATATGATCACTGCCATATAGTCCGTCTATTGTCTTACTGGATGCGAAAGGCATTAGTGAAGTAGAGCAGCAGGCAATATCTATGCTTGTAAGAGTGTTAAATGTGGAAAGATGAGTGGGATTGTCATCATTTAATATATACATGTTATGGGCATTTAATGCGTTTACTACAATAACCCCTCTAGAGTTATTTTTGATGGAACTCCATAGTAATACTGTGATGTATTCAAATAAAGCGGTTATGTCGTTTGTGGTGAAGATTTCATTAGGATCAATATATAGTGATATTATTGTTATTTTAATGTGTAAAGTAACCCCAATTACGATGTTCAGAATTTTCGAAGAATTGGTGTGGAATGTGGTTCCTGTGTGTACGCAGTATAAGAATTTGGAGCTATTACTTGGGATTGGAACGGGATATGAGTATCTTGAAGCGAAATAAAATGTGGTGATTGGTCATGCATCAACAACTGTAGATTAATGTAATTATTAATTAAACCTTTTATATTCCATTGTAGTATATTGAAATTACTCCTTGGGTTGGGAATAAATAAAAGGAATAGGAGTGTTGAGTGTAGAAAAACTATTCTGACATTACTAATTCCTCAAGATCGTCGATTCTTTAGATACATTTTTTGAAAATATATCTTCGTATGCTTTGTTAGCATTTTTTATTGACTCCAGTTTGGAGTTAAATTTATTGAGTAATTGTTCTGAGTTTATTGTTGTTTCTTTGTGATGGTTTTTGTTCATGTATTGGTTGTATAATTTTTACTTGTGCTAGGTTTCTCTGAACTACCCAGTAGTTCGAGTAACTGGTTATGAACTAGATATTTAACTAATTACCTGTAACTACCACTAGTTACCACATCATGCCCTAGACTGGTGAATTTAACATGGGTATGCCATTGGGGAAGTCAATTGTCTTCCAGTAACCAGTCATTTTGGTAGACTATATTCCTAGTTACCAATATATAGTAAAGTAGCTATTATAACAGTTTGGAAATTTGAAAATATAACACATATTCGGAATATTATTTTTTTATTTCAAATTTATGCTGTACAATGTTTATATTATATTATATATTATTTTCGCATCTGTCCTCGAAATATTGAAGCATCTGAAATAAAAAGGTGCAAATTATAACTAAAGATATGGGTCTCTTATGTAGAAGCTTTTCTACACTATATATTTGTAGAATATTTACCTATTCATCTTTAATTGTTTGTCCAATCTGTTGGATGCTTCTGAATTGGTATCTTTCGAAAATCAGTAAGACAATTGTTTGTGTGTAATTATGTTATTTATTTTTTATGTTGCAATACCAAAACTTACTTAATATTCATCTTATGTATTTTCTCGACTTTTTGAAATTGGTATATCGTGAATATCTTGTAATATCGTTTATCGTGAATATATATTACTCATATTTTGGTATTAAACATACATTTTTATTAAACTTTTGCTTTCACAATTACGAAAATTATAAAAAGTCTGAAAAAAATGACAATTGTTTTTTTCTGTTTTTTTTGTCGATTCATTACTTTTTGCATTACCAGTAACTATAGAATTAGAAAATTTTTTCAATCAACAATGAAGTCAATAGTCTATTTTGTGTGCCACTTTTGGTTATAAAGTAACTAGAGAACATAGTAACTAGCTATACAACAATACAAATGCAGACAATTGCTATTCATTGAACAACTGGGTAGCTTGCAGGGTAGTATGTATTGGGGATTTTATTAGTTTTGTTGGTGTTGTGTGGATGGTGTTGTTGATTTGCGAATCAACATTAGAGACATTTTGTGTGTTGTTTTGTTTACCGTTACGTGTTATTCTCTTTTTTCCTTTTTTTCAATTGCATCGGAGAGGCTTTCAATTGGAATTTCTGTTGGAACAGTTTTAGGCGTATTAATCCATGCTTCTTTGAACGAGCATTTATTAGAGTTTTTGTTTTTGAGTACCATTTTTCTTTGTTGAAATTCTGGACATTGTTTGTTGGTGGCACTATGTTGGTGATTGCAGTTTTAATGTGTTAGAGATATATTCCTTAACCTTGCAATTTATGATTCCAATAACAGTTTTGGGTAGTTCGTACATATTGAAACTTAGTATGTGGGATGGGAGTGTTAAATATAGTACCATCCCTAAAATTTGTTATTTTTTGACAGTCGACAACGCCTTGTGATTTCATTCCATTTACTATGTCTTTTGAGGAAAGATCGGTCAGTAGATGACAGTGTACAAAACATTTGACAATACATAATGTGGGATGATAACTGCATTCAATAGAACAAATTCCAGCAAGGTATTTAGTTTTTAAAAAACGGTTTACATGAGCTTCATTTTTTTTATCAAAAACATAAGGTTGCCGTCATGGGTGAAGATTGTTTTGAGAGTAGGTTCCGCAGAAATTCCTTGGATTGCTTTTGATAACAGAAATATGTTGAACGATTTTAGAGTTTTTTCATTGTTTTTACTTTTCGTTACAACGTATTTGGGGCATGATTGAATTTTGTTTTTATGTTGATGCAAGAGCGGGAAATCTATAGAGTTTCCCAAAGCCAATGTTCCGGTCCTCTGTTTTTCCTTTTGGGATTTAGCACCGCCATCTGGATCCAAATCGTTTAATAATTGCCCCCAGAGAAGGATGACATTTTGAGCGGAGATAATGAATATCAGAGAGAAATATTTAAAAAAGTGCTGAGTAAAAAAGTAGTATGTTCACGGGTGTTGAGAGTAAACTGGTCGATATTTAGTATTCTGGTCATTTCATGCATTTCAGGATAGTAATTGGTGGCAATTTTTATTTGACCGGACCATCGTTAATGGTGTCATCGTTGATCTAATCAATATCATCCGGATCCACAACTTGTAGTGGGAGATAGTAATTTTTTAGTCATGTTTGTATGCCTTAAAGAGGCAACAAACGTCATCGTCGCGCGGTCTCTTCATTTTCACAATTTATTTATTTATTTTTTTTTTTTTTTTTGCTAAATTAAAAGATTACTAATCGCACGTTGTTAGCGTTTTTGTATGAATTACCTCTACATATTGTAGTGACTTAATTAGAAGAAAGACCTGGAAACAATAGAATTACACATTTGCAAGATTTTCATTCATGTTTTTGAATTTTATTCTGAAAATTCAAAAATATTTCATTTTGAAAATAAATTAAATTTATTAATATTTCGTATATTTTGTTTGCGATAATACAAACATACAATAACAATTTTCTATGTGGTTGTTGTTGAATTGTATTTGTTGTAGCTTTGCAGTTTCCTTTCGAAAGTAACCATTTTTATATTATCTTATGACACTTAATTTCTAGATAATTCACGCTCATCTCAAAAATCCAAGGAACACAAAAAAGAAGAAGATTTCGAGGAATCCCACATTACAGAAAAACCCGAGACTAAAGAGAAGCCTGAAGAATTAAATTCTGAAAATAAAAAGGATACAAATATCGACATAATTAACACATCAGAAGCTTCTTCGTCCAATGTAATGAAACGTAATTTCTCAGATTTAGATGAAGAAGAATGTGAGGACGCTGATGAAGTGAAGAAGAAGAAACGGAAAGAGACTGAAGTTTTAAAAGACATAAAACAAACAGGAAATCAACGTATTCCAAATAGAGTGGACAAATCATTTAAACAAAATAACTCAAAAACTAGTTCGGCAATAAATAAAAACAGCAATACAAATGATAAAGATGATATATTAAAAAATAAACCACAAGATTCGGAATTCGACGATGATGATTCAAAAAGCGATTCCCTTTGTAGTGGAGGTTTGAAAGTACCACCATTAAAAATTGTTATTCCCCAACAAAACTGCGCGATTGACTCTGATTGTAATGGTTCTCGTACGGGAAAGTTGAATACGACGAGAAACCCAGCATTACCATACGTTGTAGCATCTAACACTGACTCGAATGACCGAGACGTTTCAACAACCAACACAAGCCCTCGAGATAGTCCAATAAAGCTTAACCATACATGTGCTAGTGGCGATGAAAAAAATTCTAAGCTAAATGAAGAAAAAAACTTGAGGGTTTTGAGAAGTGCGCACAGAGTGGGATTATCGGCTACGGATAGAAATTCAAATAATTCTTCGCCACAAATTCCAAGTAATTCACCTTCCCCGGCATCATCAAACGCTAATGATATAGTGGACAACAAAACCATTCAATATTCCAATAACAATGGAAGTCCAATACATCAAAATATTTCCTTTGACCATGATAATATATTAAACCTACCGAGTCCATCTACTTCATCTACTTCATCATCTAAAGAAGCTTCTGCAAGTAATGTTGAATTACACCCCAGAAAGCGAAAAATAAGGTCAAAAACAGAAGAAGTAAAGACAAACACAGGGAATAACGAGATTGTTTTATGTTCGGATACACATCCACATGATTTACCGTTTACTAATTGTTTTCAAATGTATATGAATATACGCAGACAAATAGAAAAAAAGTGGAAAAATGCATTTCTTGTCAAACCAAGGCCGCCGCAGGGGTTTAACGAATATTTGTTAAATACAAAAAATTATATGCTTCAATCGAAGCAAAACGTCGAATCACCAGATTTGCCAAGAAATATATCTTCTCAAATGAAAGACATATATTTAATTCAGCAAAAGGATCGCTTGGAATTATACTATCGACATATCGTGGAAAGAGAAAAATTGTGCTTAAATGTAGAACAAGAAATCCTGAGAATCCACACGAAAGCAGCTAGAAATATGGCATGTCAATTGTTACCCTTCTCCGCTTGTTCATATATGAAGGATGACGAAGTTTACAATATGCTAACACATGACCAAGAGGACAAAGAAAAAAATGCACGTTACAGATACAACGGCAGATTACTACTAAGTTGGCTGCAAGATGTTGACGACAAATGGGAAAAAATTAAGGTAATATTTGTTTTTATTATACTGTAGTTTATTTTATTGTTCTAGTTGCAAATGATATTCATGAAGGGAATAGTATATACAGTATATCAATAATGAGTTTAAACATTAAATAAATAAACGACTTATTTTTAATTTGTTAGTAATAAACATAAATAGTTCTTTATTAAATGTATCTTTTTGATTTTTTTTTATAATTTCGTACATATGTACAGAGATAAAATGCATAAGAAATAGAAATTTCGGTTACAAATTATAACAATAAATGTTAAGTTTATATATACAAGTAGTCTCATGCAGTCATATGTTTCCAATTTTTTCATAAATTTGCTTTTGACAACATTCAGGTTTCAAAAATTTAAACGAAAATATCTTCCTTCGAAATGTACGCAAATCTTGTTTCCAGTGGCAAAATCGATTTCTTAAATGAGACTACCTTGTATAGTTATGCCAGGGGTATAATAGTAATAAAATTGAACACACATTTTTATAGAAGCCACGTTACACCGCACTATAATTTAATTTAAAATGTGGCTTTTTGTCTCTGATGAACCCAAAGTTCATAGCACTATTGGTCAGGAACCCGATTCTTTTTGGCAAATTTTTAACATTGTGGTTCATGGTTTACAAATGACATGAGGTCAAGGTCAAAATTTTTTATTTTTGTGAATATAACTTATATTTCAAGAATGTTATACAGTCGAACACGGTTATAACGAACTCAATGGGACCAGCTAATTTAGTTCAATAAAAACTCAGTAGGAAAACTTTTCAAGCTCATATAACTATGTAATAAATAGTGGCAGTAAATATGTTGTGACGTTGTTTGAAACCTTTAAGTCATCCTGTGCTCACTTTTTTACATGCGGAGAACATGCAGTAATGTTAGAACATTGAGTAGTGTTAGACGTTCGTTCGTTGTTGAAGAGCGTTCATTTTAAAAACTCAAAAAAAAAAAAACAACGTTCACGAGCGCTTATAAAAATAACAACAAAACAAAAAGATCATAAAAATGTAAACACTCAAACCGAATGAATGAGAGTGCAGCAGAAAGTGTTTTTGTTATTCCACACATGTCCAACTATTATTGTGTTCACAAACGTTTATTGTTGTTTTGAGAGCTCGTAAGCATTTGCGATCATTCGTTGTCATTGGTGAGCGATTGCCAGAAATGTACTTTGCTGTTGTGTACACCATGTACGTCAACGATTGCTGTTGCGCTGTCGGGTTCGTTTGTAATGTGTGTGCAAACGGTTTTTTGCTGAAGAATTTGTCGTATTAAAATAAAACCGCAAAATGAGCTCAACGAAAAACTTTGGCGGACCCATCGTTATAATATAACATCGACCAAATATTCTGTTGGTTTTTTTGTGTGCTGCTTTTGATGGGTATTTCTTTTTTGTCGAATTGTTTCGTGACAAGTTCAATTTCTTTTATTTGTTAATTGACCTTCCCACACTAGTGAAAAGACGCTTAATGCTCAGATCTGTTTTCATTATTTAACTCTTGCGTGGTCGAATTGAATCTGAGTTTTTATTAGGTAAAATTAAATTTAATGTACCGTCCCGTAGTACTCGAAACTACATACACCTTTAATTAACCATAGCAAAATCTAATTATGAATTAAGTAAACCTTTTCGATCTTTATGTGAAGATTACAACAAATTATATGAGGGTTGTCCTCTCAACGTCCTCGAACGGATTGGCGTGACTGACGGTATTAAATGCCTTTAATAGATCCAGCGCCACCATAACTGTCCTGTTACACGGCCCGTTCTGGTTAGTCCTTCTGTTATATGCGTGGAAATGGCGTTCAAAGCTGTTGTTGTACTGTGCTGCAGTTGTGATGATGACCCGGAAATTCCTTTCTGCTACCCGAGCATGAGTTCTCTGAACCGACGATTGGTGAAATTTCTGAAATCTTGCCAATTGGCTTTCCCATGATTAAGGAAAGTACAGCGTTCAGAAGTTATGAAGTCGGGTGGTCTGCTGATGGATACGATAATATGGAGGTGATCTGACCCCAATGAAATGACGTGTTGCCAAGCCACGTCATTGGTCAGACTCAATGGAAATGTCTGGTGAGCTTTGGCATTCTCTCTTTATCCTGGAGGGTATGCACTTATTCACCGTGCAAAATGTTGAGTTATCAATTTGGCTATCGGCCAGCGCTATGCCCCTCTGGTCATTACCTAGGGTGTAATGACATAATTCATTATGTGCATTGAAATCCCCCAGCACCAGACGGTTATTGCCTTCCAAAAGATGACTAATGTCTGGCATGTAACGGGTGACACAACTATTTAACGGCGACAAAAGTGAGATCGGCCTGTATGACTCACCTATGCTGGCATCCTTGTCAGTAGCGGGACCACTCTGCCCATTTTCCAAGCATAGGGAACTATTAGGGTGGCTAACGACAAGTTGAGGACTTTAGTCAAGTAATCTACTCCTAGCACATTAAGCTGCTTTAACATAACTCTGGAGATTTCATCTGGACCAAGCGCCATAGATGCATTATAACATATTTTAATGATTGCAAATTCGATTTAAGAACAGATATATTATTTTAACATTTATAAATAAAATATTATAAAAATATAAATTTGTTCAAATCAGTCATTTTTGAATTACTATTTTTAAAAAATTTACAATTTGCCTTTCTAGCAATGTGGGCCTTTCCATATTTGAAAATATTACAGATTTGACCCACTGTGTCAGCTGTCGGGAGCTTTGTGGTTTGGGCCATATACTTTCCTGAAGCTCTAACCTATTCCTAATATCCCCAGTGGGCAACTGTATTAAAAATGTTCGTGTTTCAAATCAGTAAACAAGTATCTCAAAAAACACGTATCTCCAAAACGATCGAAAGTTTCTTAAAACGAATAGTTGTCACTTGAATTCGAATCAGTGTTTCTGTAACAAAAACTTATCGTTCGATACATGCCATTATGTTCAACAAATCTGAGTCGAATGAGAAATCTGTTTGCCTGAGATTTTCCGAAAAATTCGAAAAACGAACATCGGTTGAAACCAGCGCCTTTTTGACCACCCATAGCGTGGAATTGCGGCCTGAATTGGTACCCAATTTGATGTCTCATCTGAATTTAAAATGATGATATTGTTCGCATACCTTGCACTATAATTATGGAGGGTATATAAAATATGTTATTTGGATTTTGAACCTTCCCTATAATATATCATAGGATGCTTAGTATTGAATGGGGGATGTATCGGTCTACGTTTTGGAGTAGCGCACATATAACGTCAACGTCAAATATTTAGAAGGTCCTGGCCTGATTTTTTTCTAATTGAAGTAAATATAATTTGACATTTCAGAGTTTCAGGGAGTTTGTAAGAATGCAAAGATTGAATGAAATCGGTTATTTCATTCGAGAATTGTCGTGCGCGCCAAACACACGGACGAACATTTGTAAATTGACTACAAATTCAAAAACATAAAAGTATAAAAAGATATGACTATTGATACGTCGACAAATTCCAATAGATGGATTTTCCTCTGTTGTTATGATATCAAAACAACCCAGTAGAAAGTGTCTTGCAGACAACATCAACGAATCGTGTAAGACAATGGCAATTCCTTGAAGACATTTTGCAGACAGCAATGTGAAATCGTTGACGAAATTTTCACGCAAGTGTCGCAATATTCATGCAAGACAACTTGGGCGACAAGTAAGTGATATTGTCGTCGATGACAACTTCGGCGAATAAACTCCTTACTTTTCGTTAACGACGGATTCACTTCCTGTCGTTTACATATCCGTTGATGACTGTATACCTATTGTCATCAATCTTGTCTTCAACCATACCCCATTTAAAATTCAAATAAAAATATATATACATATTTTTATAGCATGAAATTTATTAAATTACAAAAACATCATTGTATTTACATAATAATAATATAATAATACATAATATAAAAAGCACATTTCCTGAGAAGTATGCGTAATGATTTTCCCCATTTGAACAACATCTGTAATGAAACATCAAAATTAAAATTCATTGAAATATGAATTTAACCAATTGCCATTTATCTACACCATCCTAAAAGTAAAACAATGCATTTAAATAATGATATAAACAATTATATATTCAGTTAAAATTACCTATTTTAACCAAGAAACACGTCTTCTTTATCCTAAATTTTCTAGGGGAGAGGGGGCACATTTTGAACGGGGGCACCTTTTGAACGGGGGCACCTTTGAACAGTGCTCATAAAATCTTGGTTTACATTTTTTCCGACCCGCTACCACATTTTTGTATATGGCAAACCCCCCATAAACCACTTTGGCTAGCTTTTTTGTCGATTTTCTGAAAATTTCAAATGGGATAATAAGACTACGAAATTAACTGTATTTTTCACCATATTAATTTTTGTTTTTATGTCATTTTATGTCTTAATAAATTTTGATCTGATTTTTTTAATTTTCGAAAATTTTTGTATATATCTTTTAATAAACAATTAGAGTTGCGCTATTTTTAATTTTGTAACAAGCGTACTTTTTGTTCACAAAATGTACGAATTGACATAAACGTACCAAAACAAAAATTAGATTTTTTATTATTCGTGAATACATTTACGCTTAAATTATAATATATATTATTTATGCAAATAACTGGTATAAGTATTGGCCAATATTTCTCGATAATTATGATTTATTATCATTTGAAGTTAAATTTTAGGTACCTTTTCGTACTTTTTTGTTCCTACCTGTGGTAATATTTTCCAACTCAATTCACAATTTACCAATGAGAGAGAGAGAAACTCTCAAGAAACTAATAAGTGTAAAACTCCGCTTGTTTTGAGCATTCGCGATAATTCGGGAACGTTTGTTTTCATTCGTGAGAGAATGTCGGAAAGAATTTCAACCACCAAACGAAACGAACGATCGTTGTTGTGTGCTCTCACTCGTTTGTTTTGTGTGTGCGAGCATTATTTGGCGCATGCTCGTTTGGTAATGAATTTATCGCCATAAATT